ATGCCAGGAAGAGCCTGGCACAGTCCTGATCCTGGCCCCAGCCTGCAGCTGCAGCCCACCCATCCCACACCCTGTGCAGATCCAGGGGCAAACACCACTGCCACTATTCTGGGGTGCGCGCAGTGGTGGGAACCACCCCTCCTCCAGCCCCATGCCCCCAAGACAAGCTGTGGCTCCATCCCACACCCAGCCTGCTCCAGCTGGGCAGCTCTTGCCCCACCCCCTGCCCCAGCCCCAGCCTCACTCCTCCCTAACTGCAGGGGGCCGCAACAGACTTACCAGCTGCACACAGCTCTCCATGCTGTCAGGCTGTGCTCCTTGATATCTACGTACTGTGCTGCGGCTGTGCACATGCACGGGCATTCATTGCCCAAACTATCAGCCACATCAGGCCAATTTCCAATACACTTAATTTTCTTTATGTTGGTGCCAATCTGATATTGGACTGATGTATCAGTACTCCTCTATCCTCACATGAAAGCCCCTCCATACCACTCATCATCCTTGTTGCCCTTCTCTGCACCTTCTCTAGTTCTTCTCTGTCTTGTTGAAGCTGTTGGGACCTGGGCTCTGTGTTCATGATGTGGACACACCAGGGATGTATAAAGGGTCCAGGTGTCCACTGGTGACCAACCATCTGCTCCTGGCTCCGGGGCCTCAGAACATTGGCGTTCACCCCAAAGTAGCTGGCCACACCCCCCTCCCCCCCACATGACCCCTCTCTCTCCTGTCTCCCATTAGCCCCTCCTTGTCCACCCAGCTTTCCTACTGCCCCCCACCCCACCAGGCTCCCTCACACCTTCAGGGCTGTTGTAGGTCCTGTTAAAGCGACTCATGAAATCCTGGAAGAGTTGGGTCAGTTTGGCCTGGAATAGATCAGATAACAAGGGAAGGGGTTAATGCCCCAACAGCAAGGGAGCTAGGAGGTCTCTAGAAACAGAGCCCCCCATCTACACCAACAGCCCCCAATGCCCTGCCCCCTTCCAGCCCCACTGGTGCCTCTGACTCCCAACCTGCAGCACCCAGCTTTGCCAGTGGCCCTACCTCCCAACCCACAGCCTCCTACCTTTCCCAGACCCCCGGGGCACTGCACTCCTGACCTGTAGCTCCCAAACCCACCCCATCCCTGTCAGTGCCCCTCAATACTGGACCCACAGCCCCCAAGCCCTCTCCAGATGCCCCTCACTCCTGAACTGCAACGCCCTGCCTTCCCCAGACTCCTAGTGCCCCTCACTCCTGACCAGTTCTGTCCTCCCCCAGCCACTACCATGCTGGGCTCTGGGGTGGGGTCAG